AAACTACTTCTTTCAGTTTTACCCTTTTTTTATTAGAGTGAAGGTATTTAATATAATTGTATCATTATTTAAAGTCAAGAGCAAAAATGAAAGTGCATATCTTTTTTTATGAGATCAAGAAGATCAAGAAAAAAAAAACTAACTTAAAGATGCATGAAACGATTGAAAGTGTCTTATAATAAGGACCAAAGAGAATAAATTAGATCTAATCAGCCCTCCAATCACTCTGACAGGCCGACAAAGAAAATCACCAAAGAAAGTAATGGCTGAAAACCCATGAGGAAGCACAAAATTATCCATTTTAACACCACCACTCTGCAGCTGGCACTAATGTACAGTATTTCAAACTGCAATATATTCATGAGATGACTGAATTCAACTCGTCAAATCATTGCTTGATGACAAATCTGTTGTGAAAGAAACTAAGGGTCATGTTAGACAACATATGAGATTACTTTTAGCAAGTGAAAAACTCTGGCTGGAACCCCAATGACCAATCAGCCAAAGTAAAACATAGGACATAAAAGATAGTTAGAACCAGGGGAAAAAAAGAAAAAAAAAAGGATTGTTAAATAAATTTTAACAAAAAAGGAAACGAAAAAAAAAAATAGTGATAATAACTATCAGGCCAAGGCTTCTGTCAATTCTTATATATAGTGTATAACAAACACAGGAAATGAGTCATAACCTTCCATTGAAAGCTGGTTATTTATCCTCATGGAATAAAGGAAATTAAAGTAAGACAAAGACACCAAAGAAGAGACAAATGTGCCCAAACTTAATTCCTCAAGGCTAATTTACTCAAACTATAGCAATTTTCATCATGATTGTAATCAATCTCAGTCTTATTTAACTTCAAAGAACTTCCTCTATGCATTGTTGTTGTTGTTGTTAGCTCTCCATTAATTTTAAATAATTAAGCAAAAAGCCCTTCACTTTATATCCATAAGAGTCCACAATAGAGGTTGACTAGACAGAACAACATTAAGCAATTCCTTAGGATTGACAACTCAACCCTCTTCCATATTTGCTGTAATTTACAATATCAAGACAATGTTCAAGATAGATAACGAGATGGTCAATATATTAAAATATTCTGATCCAAAAATACAACCAATAGCATCTGCAATAGCACCCGTGACTTTCAAACGTCCAATATATGTCTACATCTCATAGAGATGTCAATCTAAACAAGAGGAAGAAAGAAATAATATAGTTGAGAGTAAGACTTTTATGATACTAACACAAACTAGCAGACAGCTGGATGAAGCAGACTGCTAACCTGGGCCAAGAACGTTGCAAGTGAATACCTTAAGGTACTCAAGACAGTTACTCTCTCGTTTATATAAACAGTTGCAGAGTGACCTAGCTGCTGTACGGAAGAACCATGAGCTTCACGTCCACGCAACAACTGAACTGTTTCATCAATGAACGCCCTTGGACCTCTCTCAATAATCATGAAATATGCTTTACTAGTATCTGATCTCTGAATACAAAAACAAGGAAGCAACAAAGTTTACAATGACTTGTTGAAATGCATGCAATGAACATTATTGGCTTTCCAGCCTGCACACAGCAAAACAGGAAAGAAAAAAAAATGAAAAAACTAACCTCTGCTCTGGACTGCCAAAACTGCAGATTCTTTTGAATGCTATGCAAATTCTTTAAAACATGTTCAAATATATCCTCCAAAACATCGTGCACTCTAGATGGCTTACTCATAACCCTGCGATAAGAGGGCATCAAAGTTCTAAATCAGCAAATTCATTAGGGAACAAGTGAGATGACACACAAATTTTCTTTTGAAGTTCATATTTTTATCTCTCTTTTCTTTTAACTCAGTTCAATGTGGATAGCGTGGAAGTGGTTGAGTGGAATGAAAAAAGCCCTCGTTCTCCTGCCAGAAGCCCCTTCTATATCATTCAGTATCATGTAATTATAAACTTTGCATATTTCATTGATCGAAATCATTCAAAGTATTTGGCAACTAATCTGCACTAGCAGCCCAAAGGCCAGAGCGAAAAGAAAAAAGAACACTGGAACTGCAAATATCTTCAAATATCCTAATCCTCATTTTAGAATAAATAGAGACACCGAATTTGGAGTTACTTCATCACAGCATGTTATGGAACCAACCAAACGAGCTCGAAACAGGACACTTCACGAATTAACTATCGTTGAATATCTTGGTGGCAAAACAAAGTTAAAAATCAAAGGCAAATGACCATACAACGAAGAGTCGAGCAAGCTGGAAGGCAATGGGAGAGGGAGGCATTCCCGATGTTTGCGTGATCTGAAACGAGCAGCTACGTTACGAAGGTTGTTGAGTGTGCCGATGAAATTAGAACTGGAGATCGCATAGAAACCGTGCAGGCGATTCCAGATATAGTTGGAGTAAAAAGAAAGAAGGTTTCTATTTACAGCTGATTCGGTCTCAGAAGTTGGAGAAGTCATTGGAGCTGAGGCCGAAGCTTGTTTCGTAGTGTTTTTGTGTTATATGCGTAAGGCAAAGAACGTGACCGCAGAGGAAGGTCGGGCCTTGATTGCTTGGAACAGTCAGTTTTTGCGGTTCGGGTCTCCTCGAGCATTCGTAAACCCCGAAATGGCCAGAAACCCAGAAAATTAAAAACAGGCGGCACGATGGAGCGGGTTTCCACCCAGAACCCGCGCCAAATCCCTTTTCAACATCAATTTCAAATACTTATTTTATTAATTTTCTTGAGTTCGATGCAATTTTATCTCTAAATTATTTTTAAAAAATAATATTACTTTAAAATTATTTATTATAATAATGTTATTTCTAAATTAATTAAATCAAAAAAATATTATCCTTACCATTTAAACGTCCATTAATTGTAGTTAGTAAAACTCACTTTTCATGGGTTAAAGCACAATTTTTATCCTAAACTATTTTCAAAGAAGTAATGTTTCTTTTAAACTAATTAAATTAGAGTAATATTGTTCCCATCATTTAAAAATCATAAACATTCATTAACTAGAGAGATAATGAAAAGTACTTTTTGTATTAGTATCATTTCATTTACATTCTTTCTAACATCCAATATTCATGTGACAACATTTATGTGTCATGATATTCTCCACTAATATTCTAACAAGTCATGAAGTATACATTAAGAAGAAGTTTACTTTTTATACTAATTTTCTTCAATAACAAATATGATAATAGCGGAAATATAAATTTACACTAACAACATTATGAGAGGAGTTCTTAATCTAACAAAGAGCAAATAAGCTATATTTCCAAGGGAAAAAGGTTGCTTCTTATCATCTTGGGTGAATCAGCATATAAAATTGACTATCATAAATAAACATACTCTCTCATGTGTATTATAAATAAAAAACCTATATATAGATAATCATAAAATGGTTACCTAAAAACCAATTCAATAACTAGAATACCACAATCTAGTTAAAATGCTGACTTGATTCAATATTAATTAGATAGAGATGATAAAAAGTGAGTTTCACTAGCTACAATTAACGGACATGTATGATTTTTAAATAGTAAGGGCAACATTACTCCTCTAGAAATAGTTTAACGGTAAAATTATACCTTAACTCATAAAAAGTGAAATCTACTATCTACAGTTAATGACTGTTTAAATAGCATGGGATACATTGTTACGATGAATAGTTTAGAAGCAACATTGTTCCCCTGAGAGCAGTTTAGAATCAAAATTGTATCTTAACCCAATTTTCTTTATATATAAACGTCAAGTGAGATTTTTCAAGCTAAAATTCAATTTAAATTGAAGTAAGTAATTTTTAACATGGAAATTGTCCACTAGTTTGTTATTTTTTTTCTTTTAAGCACTTGGTATGTCGAACCTACTTTACTTTCAGGATGCATTTTGATGAATAAATTTGAGTTAAGAATTTAGATTTAAAATCTCATGTTTAAAATCTTAAATTTAAAATTTATAGATTCTAAATTCTTTATTTGAATGATATAAAAAATTTTAAATTATAATATTTAAATCCTTTATTTGGATTTTAAGTAAAATTTTAATTTTTAAATTGAATTTAAAAGCAACACAACGACGTCTGTCATCCGTTCCTAGTCAAATTTGGCAGTCTAGACGTCTAACTTTTGCCGAGACCTACCGCCGACTATAACTAGGATCAGATGGCCAACTTCTATAGGAATCGAACTATTGGCACTTACCAGGACAGGACCGCTAGCGACAACTAGGACCGAATGGCCATTGCTGACTTGGACTGGATTGCCACCTGAGATCGAGATTAGATGACCAACTCCCACCGTGATTGGGACCGGTGACTTCGACCAAGAGGGGATTGAAAACTTCAACCAAGACCAAACCACTGACAATTTGATCCCGATAGTAGGAGATTGTTTGGTCCTTGTTGTCACTGGCATCCCCAGTTCTAGTAGAAGTTAGTCTCCAGTCTAGGTTGGCACAGATGATCTAGTCCCAATGGAAATTGATTGTCCGATCCTTGTCGTCACCTATACTCTGATCCTAATCGAGCCGACAAACCGGTCAAATTACAAAACATTTAATGAAATATAACTTTTACCATGAAGTATTTAACATTGTGATATTTCCATGACTTCATTTCAAAACTTCTAATTAAGTGTTGTTCACTTTTGAGATTTATGTTACACCTCTAACATAAAATTAAAATATATGAAATGCAATTCTTCTCTCTCTTTCTGTTTTTTTTTTGGAATTCTCTCTCTTTTAAGTGTGGGCTAAAAGGCATATTTGAGTAAAAAAATTATTATTATTTTAACTGAGCCTCCTTTAGAAATGTAGGGAGTGGAGAGTGGATTGGGGCAAAATGTTATTCTTTATCTTTTTTTTGTAACATTATTCCATTTCCTTTTTATTTAAATGAAAAGAAAATAAATTAAAAGTTGAACAGCACTCTCAGTCTCTCACTGCTAAATTGTACGGAACCTGATGCCCTTCCATAATTCTAAGAAAAGGATAAAGGTGGGACGCAATCACCTCCTACACTTCCTTGAGCCATCCAATGAACACATCGTTGATATTCCAAGACAAAATGTACGCAAATATTTGATTGGGCACCCGCTGGCACGTACAAGATTACATCATAGACTGACCCGAACAGAATCTACCCCAAGGGCGCCAATGTTAACAAACGAAACGACATAAAAGGGGAAGCATAAGAAGAGGACTCTGTAAAGAAGAGTATCAAAGCTAGAGATCGAAGAATTGAAGAGAAGAGAGTAAAGAGAAATGGCAGCATTGGGTGGTATTAGTGGGGTCCAAGGAAACCAAAACAGCCTTGAGATCGACAATCTCGCTCGCTTTGCCGTGGAAGAACACAACAAAAAAGAGGTTTCTTCTTCTTCTTCTTTCCATCTCTCTCGTTTTAATCGATGTTCCTTTTGCATTTGTTTGTTTCCGGAGAAATCAGAGGAGAAAAGTTAAATTTGAGGCTTAGACTTCTGATTCTTTATGTTAATTTTGTTTCGGATGGGCTAACAATCTGTTTCCGCTTTCTGATTTTCTGATGCTAACGGTTGTTTGAGTGTTATTGAATTAAATCCCTATGTGATCTTGCATTTCTTGTGATGTATTATTGAATTCTTGCTATCTAATATCTGAGAAGGGGTAATTTGGGATTTGAAATTCAATTGGAAATTTTCTATCCTTTTGTAATTGAATTTGCCATGTTTATGCAGAATGCACTTCTGGAGTTTGGGAGGGTGATAAACGCAAAACAGCAGGTGGTTGCTGGTACCTTGTATTACATTGCGCTGGAGGCGACGGATGGTGGGAAGAAAAAGGTTTATGAAGCCAAGGTCTTGGAGAAGCCATGGTTGAACTTGAAGGAAGTGCAGGATTTTAAGCTTGTGGGAGATGCCCCTTCAGTGTCGAGTACTTAGCAAGGTATTTGCTTACTGTCAATCCTTCATTATTGTCCTCACGGAGCTCACTAATTTAATCTGAGCTGAACTGATTATTTGAATTGAAAAAGGTTTTCTCTTCTTTAAAATGAAATATGCATCATATGAAGCAGATCTAGAATGAATTGCTGGTTTAGTGTGCCCCTGGAAAAATTATAATTTAAGCTACTGTTTTCTTTTTGCTGGAAAATCAAGTAACCAAATTGATAACTATTTAGTATTTACGATGTCATTGCATGCATATGTGCATTTGATGGCCGCATGCTTACTAATTTGGCTTAAGCTGCTATGTGAAATAGAGCAATATATATGTTCTTGCTTACCCGTGGTGTCTTGGATGTAAAAGCATATGTATAGGAAGAGACAATTTTGCTAGCAAATTAACTTGGAGGTAAATGGCAGGAAAGTGTGATGATTGTGTAAAATTAACACGTATAGTGCTGAATTACATCCCTTGAGCTTCATTTTCTAACCTGGCCTTTTAATATTGTTTTAATTGGATTGTTGGCTTCATTCTTCCTCCTTTAGGAAAGATTGATTACATTTCTGGTTCAGGATAGTTTTCATGAATTATTATCCCATTGGGAAGAAAAATAATAACATCACATCATACCTGAGTACTTAAAGCATTGAGGAGAATGATCCGCGTTCTATATCCGATCACTAATTTAAGATCCGAAAGTCATATACTAGTGAGCTGGACGTATTCCCTTTGCCCATTAGACATAAACTGAGAATATCTTCGGCTTGATGCTTAAATGTTGCATTATACTAAACACCAAAAGAATGAGAGTTTTTGATGAGGTTAATAATTAGTTCAACTTAAACCAAGATAATTGTTCTTTCATTTATCTTTGGCTCCCAAAAAGTTTGTACCTTCTTATCTCCGTTTTATTTGAAATTTTCCTTTGTTTTCAGGTGGCTACAGCTTGGATGCAAGGTGGAAATACCAGGATATGATATACCAAGTAAGATGAAAATAAATGTAACTAAAATGATAATCAAGTTTTCCACTTTACATTTTGGCATGCATTGGGCACTGTATTTCTTGGTAACCATAATATGTATGGTGTATTTATATGTAAACAAAATATAAACCATTGAGGCTCCATTCTGTTTCCATGTGAAGCATATGAAACATCAGAAACATTTCTAGATGATGACCATAAATAAACAAGATTTATATCTTCTGCGTTTAGCAGATAAATGTACAATATATATTTAGAATTAATTAGTGAGAAAAGTGGGAAATGGTAGCAGCAACAGCAGCAATAATAACAATCTACAAGTATAATGTTTAACTCAATTTTAATGTCAATTCTTGGAATGCCTTGTAATGATTAACTTCCCCCTGAATCACCTGAAACAGAATTATTTGAATATGCAAATCTTTAATTGAAATATGATATATGCAAATATTTTAAAATTGATTGCATCTAAGTTTATAATGAGTGCTACCAATGGAAATTAGATTTAATGGAATGAGATAATTCTTTACCACGTGGTGAACTAATATTTAAATCCCTATTAATAAATATATCTGTACTTAATACCTGATTGTGTCTTAAGCAGGATTGTTTTCATTAAAATGATACTTGTAAGTAATAAAAAAATTGGCAATGTGTGCTTTCTATTGGTGGGGCTCAATATGATATTTGTATCAAATTTCACTCTATTATTATTTGCTATGAATTTAGATTTTTAAACGTTCGGAAACTATTTTCTCTTTGACTAATTTTGAAAAGTTCTAAACATTCATTCTTTGTTTTTCTAACATATCGTCAGGTTTCTCACACAAACTAATTTATACAAGCATCTGACACAATCGCTGACTTGCCCATGAGCCGTGTAACACTGCCTTGTAGACCAAGTTGGGTTTGAGTATTTGAATGGTTTCAATATTGCCTTTAATATCGAGTCTATAACAATTAGTATCAACGCCGTTTATTGCATATTTCCATGCACTTCAGAAAATCGAGGTGATTAAACTGCAATATATATGACTTCCTAGTTCACATATTCACATATTCAGAAATCACAGATCATTAGACTACCGGTTCACTTATCAGATATGTGATCAGTCGCTTATAATGTACGCGTACACTTTGTTATCCCCTTTCTTCGACCTCTTGTAAGTTTTCTCTGTTCAAACTTCAAACTCTTCCCATCTCCACGCACTCTTTCCAACTACATACATATTTATTCCTATAAAGTCAACAATTTTTCAGCAGCTTCGTGCACAAAGCGTTTAATATTTCAATGGGTTATTGACGATTTTTTCCCTAAACTTTTATTAAGAAGTGCTGGGTATGGGTATGACAATATCCTCTTAAACAATTTTTTTAGGAATAAAATTGCCCTTCTAGACTTATTATGTTCTCCATTATCTACTAACATGAAATAGCTGTGGGGCTCATGCATAATAATAGTAAGAGGCTCTAACACATTTTACAACTGTTTCATTGCTTAAATCAGGCCCAATTCTTATCGTTACCATTGCATTTCCATTCACTTCGGCCTAAATAGTCAAAATGGATTAAAATGTTTTACTATCACTTTATGTGAGTCTCACAACCATTCCATGTCAGCAAATAATAAAGAGATGTCAGGTCTCTAATAGAAAGGCAATTTTGCTCTTAAAAAATTATTTAAAAGGGATATCACCCTATTTTTCAATATAAAATACCCAATGCTCTTTAGAAAATGGTTTAGGAAGGAAAAAATGGTCTTTAATCCAAAATCAATCCAGAAGATTGTTAATATCCTTGATCAGAATCATGAAGCATTGCATTTGATGTGGTGGCCAAAAGGTGACATAACAGGTTCAAGTCCCAAGCAACACATTATATGACGAGACCCACATCAAGTAATTCATCATGAATTAAACATGAACTACGTAAGTCCTTAATGATCCATCTTAACATTGCTGAAGCAGGTAACGCTGGTTTGTCACCCAAGTGGAGGCATTAAGGTGATAGAGGGGCTTTTCTGGCCTCATTCCGGTTAGATTTAGTTTTAATGAAGAGAAAATTAATAGTATTAGGGGAAAAAGGGGGGGGGAGATGTGGGGCCGAGACTTTATTTTTATAATAGAATATTATTTAATTTATTGTCTTTTTATCTATTATTATTAATGTTGGAATCCATTTATATTTAGTATCATTTAAATATCATGTTTTATTTGATGGACAATGAATAACACAGTTCAATGGGTCTATATAAGAATTTTCTATCTTTTTGTGACCTTCCTGGCGGTGGCAATGAGCACAGCCAATCTTTCTAATACATTGGGTGAGGCTTAGATGCTTAAACCATTATCTTTTTTACCGTCCTACGTAACAATAACACGAAGATCACATTAGTGGTAAATAACTGTGAAGTGAAAAATGATGGATCAAGAACAAGGTGTTTATGAAGCCAAGGTTTTGGAGAGGCGTGTAACTTGAAGGTATTGATGATGTTGATATTAATCCTCTCATTTCAACTCTTAAGAAATGTTTTTTTTTTTTCATATACTTATTATTGAGGATGAGGGTAGTGTCATTATTTATCTAATTGCAGAAAAGGACCTAAAAATTATAAAAAATGACCAACACATTTTTCTTTATAATCTTTGGAGTATTTGTTTGTAATTTTTGGATCCTGTTATTTTCTTGGTTTTTTTTGTATTTTTTAAGTTTTTGTTGTAATTTTTTTATCAAATAATAGTTAAAGTCAATTTTTATTAACAATATAAGAATATTACATTTTGAAAAGTTAAAAATAAATATTATATTAAAAATAAATTTAAAGTCTCAAACGCTCCTAAATCTTTAGTTTAGGGGCTAATTGCCATTTAACCCTTAAAAAATATCGGTCCATAACTAATAGAGAGGAATTATATTTTTGCAATTTTGATATTTTAATTAGATTCATGAAATTTAGATATTTAAATTTCAATTCAAAATTATTTGCTAAATTTTGATTAAAAATCTGGTTTTTGAATTAATTTAGTACAGGTTTTTAAGAGAATATATTTTCCTGAACAATCTTCTGATGATGGTGTAAAATGTGGGCATGCTTGGTTTACGTGGTCCAGTTTGTTAGAGGGCCGTTTGTTGTTACATGATCACTGTGGCTTCTCAATATGTAATGGTCTAAATGTTAGAATCTGCATTATAAAAACAAATAAATAAATGTTAGAATCTGGGATTTGGAGGGTCTTTGTGAGTTCTTAATTGGTGAAGAATGCAAAGCCAAATGTTGAATATTCTCTTGGCTCCAGTAGAATGAGAGTTGACAAAGTAATGTGGATTGCCAACATGCAAGTGCTACTTTGCGTTAGGATCATCAAGTTTCACTATTAACTACATTTTTTCTCGAGAAAATTACAAAGAGTTCCTAATTAAATGACTTATAGAAAAGCGAGCCCCATGAATTTATGAAAATACTCTTAAATTTTATGGAATTTGAGATATAAATGTTCTTAGACTCACAGCTCTTTGACTAATGTTGATCGCCATTGACTAACCACCTTTGATCATTAACATAATGATTGATTAATGGGAGAATTGCATTGCAGGCTTCAAAAGAGCAAAAAATTGCACTGTAGGCTCAATATATTTTGTTATTACACTGCAAGCCCAAGGATCCTTATTGTAATTTTTTTGAAAACAAAAGTATAATTTTGCCCTAATGTGATATGAAAACTCAGATTATGCACAACATGATGTCTATTGATGCATAACATAATATCCATATGTGTCTAATTAATTATTAAGTTTAATAAAATGTACAAATGACGCAGACAATATATAATATAATGTCCATTGATACATAATATAATGTTCATGCATTCTTAACTAAATGTCCATACATGGACACACATGGATATTGTGTTAAAAATTTTTGGATATTATGTTGTGCATCCATGGATATCATGTTGTGCATGCTCTACATGACTTTATTTTAATTAATCTATAGATTAACTAGACATATATGAACATTGTGTTGAGAATTTATAAATATCGTGCATCCATGAACATTATGTTGTACATACAATGTGTGATGTATATCTTGACTTACAGATTAACTGGATATGTATTGATATCATATTGTACATTCATGAACATTATATTGTACATGATTTGAATTTTTAAATCACATAATGGCAAAATAATACTTTAACTTTTAAGAAAAATTGTAACAAAGGTCCTTGAACCTGCAGTACAATATCAGAATGTCTTGGACCCAAAGTAAAAAATTTTGCCGTTTTAGAGCCTGCAATGCGATTCTCCCTTGATTAATCCCCATTGACTAGTCAAAAATTATTTTTTAATAAAATATATTTAAAAGTACTGTTTAGGGTTCAGTTCGTGATTACTGAGCCTCAAGCCCAAGTTCTATATAGTGTACCTAGGAGAGACCAAACAAAAGCCCAAACAAAAAAAAAAAAAACCTACAGAAGTACCTCACAAGAGGCACTCATCGTGTGGGACTCTGCTTGTTCCTTGTGATGAAGTATTGACCTTGTTTGAATCATTATTCTTTTTTACCTTCCAGGAAAATGCTGTCAAAAGTGATTATTCTCAGGAGGTGTTTTTTATTTTTTATTTTTTATGCTTTAAAATCTATGGCATCTTGCCATACAAAGGATGCAAAAATTAATTATTCCATTAGTCCTCTTTATAAAATAAGAATATAATATTAATTTTGATCATATTTATGAAGCACTTCTTTATTTTTTATATTTATTTTTATGTTTCTGTCATTATTAAATACTAGAAAAATTAATAAAAATAATTTTTTATTCTTATTAGAGAGTAAAGGTGAAAAATTATTAAATTTTAAAATAAATTTAATAAATTTTAAATTTTTTTAATTCTAATAAAAAAATGTTAAAAGTTCCTTATACATAGAATTAAAAGGAATATAAACTTAAAGCTCATTGCACATGTCAAAAAGGTTGAATTTCTTCATCTTTATACAAATATAAATTTCACGACTAAGAAAAGAGTATGGAAAGCAAGCCAATTGGAGTATTACTTTGGAAAAATAAAAAATTGGCTATAAGGATAAAAAGCTTAAATATTTGGGCATAAATCTTAAACTCAAAAATAAAGCCCGCAAAAAATCATGATCCTTGAGCGACAATATTTTTGAACAAAATATTAAAATACCATTTTTTTCTACATCATCTCCAAAGTATAGAATATTGAA